CGTGTGTTGCTAGTTGAGAGTTAGGGTCTAACCTCCGAGTGGCCGATTTATGTTCTTGTAGGCGAGTTTGCAATTTCCGCCCAGTTTCGCCCACATAGTTGCAGTCGCCCTCATTGCAATTTATTTTGTAGATGACTGCTGAAGTTTCAGCGGGTGGCAATGGGTCTTTAGGTTGCATGAGGCGACGTCGAATTGTTGCTTGTGGTCGATGGGCTATGCCTACTCTGGTGGGTTGTAGCAGTCGCGAGACCGCTTCAAAGACCCCTTTAACGTAAGGAATGGCCCTCCAGACTTCGGGTTGCTGCTCATTTGGCCGTTTTCTGGGCGCCCAACGTCTGCTTCTCTCGATGAAATGCCTGGGATAACCATTGGCAGCATCGCAGCATCCCTCCCAACACCCATCTTGTTTCACAAGGCATCGAGACAAAGCTTATCTCAGGAGAGATGGACTAGGAGGTAATGTTTAGTCGGACATAAGGTACTAGTTTACGAACGACTCCTACCTACTGGCATCCCAGCCCATACGAACCAGGCCTCGGTAACTGAAATCTCACGTTAGCGGCGAAGGTATTTACAAAACCAGTTACCATCTTTCAAACCACGGCTTTATGGCACCGTGCGAGTTTGCAATGCGTCAATCTTTGAAGTTATGTGGGGTCCTGCACGACCCATCATGAGCCACTAACAAGTCTGTGCTAGGCGAACTAGAGCTGAGACTCGGCTTACGTGACATAAAGATTTCCCTGCCTCCAGTGTGTTTTGCATACATTTGTCTGCATTTTGACCTGATGAAATGCCAACGGCCACTTTGGAATCCCTACGGCCACCCACAAGAAGGGGAACATGTACGACTGCGTTCGCTGTAGCAAACCCAGGCTTTTTCCTCATTCCTTCGCTCTGCTGGTCCAGGAAGGCAACGGGTCTGAATGAAGACAGTGTGCCAAATACCATCTGTCTTCTGGTTTTTCACATTTATGACTTGTAAGAGACAAAAGTTAGAAAGCCATATCGGTGTATGTTTCCCCAAGAAAGCTGCATGTCTACAGGATAACGCGCACTCCGCCCTGGTGTTAGATCACGTTCAAAGGAAGACAGATATGAGACGATGACGCAGAGCGCGTTCAGCGTTAGAAACAAAGAGTATCCTCGGTGCTGAAAAAGACGCTCACAAGGTGAGTTATACTGAGGAAAAGTAATGCAATGTCAGTCCGGCTGGTCGATCAGGCAACTCATCCTGATCTAGTAGCGTGGAAACACATTTTAGATTTTCATTCCGTCAAACGTTGTTTTAACGCCTGTGATGGTTTTTAGGCCTAGTACCGATAGTGCGACCGCTACAGGCGTCCGGATCCACCCGTTTTCCGCCGGGGGGAGGGCAAACTACAATTATCCTTTCATGTTCCCTACTCTCTTTCCTCCTCCCATTCGTAGGCGACCGGGGGGGGGGTGAATGGATGCCGTGACCGGCAAAATTGGACATCTCATCTGCGCGCGCCAACAAACGGTGTGGTCCCCATTCCACGTGTTACAAGGGTCCACTTAGGACGTCCCCAATCTCGCGTAGGTGAGAGTAACATATGAGCCAGATCAAGAAAGCATCATAAAAGACCCAATCCTCAGTCCTGAGTAGAACGAAGTTACCCCATCAGTCAGAACTCTTTCAAACGGCTCATAACTCCTCGTGATAGGTTCGAGCTCGCGGAGTTACTGTAGGGAGGATGCGCTGGTGTGCCGTGGGGTTTGTGGTAGGCAGGCCGTCCTGATGTTCCAGCGGAGGGACTAGTTCCAGACTAATCTCGACCTGTCTGGTGGAGCAGGATGGAGATGGGATCGCTTTCCCCTTTTCTGAACGGTTAATCTGGGATTTTTTCATCAGACGAGCAGACAATATCTCAGCACACAGTTATGATCGGAGTAATCAAAGAAAGTCCATCATCTCACAATATATCGCTTACGTGTTGGAGGTATAGAAATGGGGGAACAAGAAGCGTCTGATGCGCGGGCAAGTCTCGTGGAATAGAAGGGGAGAAGAAGATGCTTGGGGATTAAGAAGGTGGTTTTGGTGACACGATATCGACAGGATCCTGGACGGTATCCGGACTTATTCCTCTGTCCTCATCTGAAAACGCCAAAAGAGAAGGTGCACACTCAGACCACAACACAAAGCCTCCCGTCTCCTTTTTCCCGCTGGCCCGTTTTTCCTCCTTTAAAACAAACCTCCTTTTCGAGTCTTGCAGGTTAGATTCGTCAGTGTCGTTTCAACTCCCTCTTCCCTCTCCCATGCATCAATCGACCGTCCGAACCTGTAAGCCAGCCAGTTGATGGAATTGGGTGCAGTGGATGACAGGGCGTGAAAACCCCCGCCTAAGGCGGGCCGCATGCATGTATGGCAGTAGGTAGTGCAGTGCGCAAACTCGGTGCAGCCCGACAAACACGTGCTAGTATGAGCCCCTTTTGGTTCAACATACCTGTGGCGCAGTCCGTTTGGTGTTGTTGACACCCACACGATTACACCACGATGTACCTTTGGCATAACACACCCACGTTAATTGCGGGCGGCCGCGTTTCATAGTAAACGCAGTCTGCGCATATTTCATTCACACATTTTGCTGGGCCAAGGCCTTCCTCTCTTCTCCCAACCCCCTTCGCCAATACTGGCTTCCGCTCTGAACGATCTGTTTACACAGGTGCTATGGGAAGGATAAACAGTTGTCAAAGTCTGCGGCGCCCGCTGATTTGCTTCTATTTCTGGTGTCCGCGTGGTATGCGCTAGCGGATCGCACAGTCGGTAGCCTTGCGGCGCAGACCAGCAGTACGTTTCAAGGCCTCCAAGAGATCCGAATTGCAGGTCATTTTTCGCTGCAGGTACATGGCTACACGTTGGACCTATAGCTTTGTAGGTAGGACGCTGCCCTTTGATGACGGCCGTCAACTGGTTGGAATTAAAAAGTAATCAGGGTTAAATGATTAGGGCCCTTATTCTTCAGCAAATATGTCAACAAAGGAGAGGGGGGGCAAAGCTGTAAGCAAAATCGGAGTACATTTAATGTTGATTTAATTTTGTCTAATTCTTCACCTAACTTTTGATGAGACTCCTCTGGCGAACGTCCTCTCTAGTTTATAGGTCTTATGAAGAGGGAATGGTCATTTGCCGCCATTGATCCAGAATATCCTAGTTCCGGGTCGGTTGAACTCAGTTTGTTGTTTTCTGGGTTTGAGTTTCAGTCCCAGGAGGTACCACTTTGAAAAGTGTGGTACCTCCGGAGGCTAATGTAAAAGCGCATAAGATGGTTCTCCTCGCTCATAAACGTCTTCGGACTCTTACCAAACAAAATTCTAATGTTCCTCACATAACTTTTGGACCTCCTTCAGAATAAAGTTAAATGGCCTGGTATCCGTACCTTATCCATGGTAAGAAACCTCCCGTTCCCTAGAAAAGGTTTGGTTTCTTGCGAAAAAGCTCGTCAGATCGCTGCACCTTCTGCCCTCCGCAGACAGCTTTCAAGGATGTGACCTCCCTATACGGGAGGAAAACTTCCTTTGTATCGACCTCATCTGAGCCAAGGAGATCATGGAATTTACGAAGCCGATTCATAACCTCTCTTCGAGTCCAGTCACGCCTGTACAACCAAAGGCACCTTTTCAGGTTTTGCAAACTTCGACAGAAAACATAAGCGAGACAGCCACCTTACTCAGCGGGTTGTCACCCTCTCCGAACGGAATTATGGCTTTTACATGTTCAGTCGCTAAGAAGCGTGGACTGCAGATGATTAAATTCCACGAAAAATATAATCGCTCGTATTCCGTCCAAAAATCATGTCAAACCAGCGAACATCCCCTATGGGTATTCCTGTTTTTTTATAGTGCACAGATTGTAATCCGCAACGAAGGATGATGTAGTCTTCAATAGTTCTGGGCTGATTTTCATTTTCATCAATCTTGGCGAGGGTCAAGTTTTATGCCGCCAAAAAAAGCCATCAGCACTTAGGACTCTAGTAAAACCAACTTCAGTCTAAGTCTGCAGCACCTCGACTGGATTGGAATTCAAGGAAGCATTTAGATAAACTGACTTCTACTGCAAGAACTTCACTTGTATGATTATGTGTTGGGAGTCCAGATTCCTATCTCAGAAGAAAACTCAAAATATGGAGAAGATGCGTAACAAGAGGAAAAAAAGAAGACGATGATGAGGAAGAAGGAGGAGGAGGAGAAGGAGGAGGAGGAAGACTACCCTCTGAAATCGAAACGTAGTTTACTAGAATTTCAAAATGCTAGTTGTGTTCAGCATCAGAGGATTTAGGAAGTACAAAAATTTCTGTCTACCGCGACCATGGTTGTCTTTGCATGGGGGTGGACACCGCTCCATCCGCCACCGAGTGAAGTGAAGTGTAAATCAGTTAAAACAGTGCGGGCAGTCAACCGCCATCTGCCACATTGACTTTGACGACCAGCTTCTTAGTCTATGGGCCATATAACCATTAATTGACAGCAGAAACAGGAATACCGAAGGGTGCTGAGACGCGGCAATTAATTATTCCAAGCTACAATTTTGTGATCTGGCATCATTGGAACGCAGCTATTTGTCGAGGACCAGTCCAAGATGGCCCGCGAGTTGCAGAAGCCTGAACATTCAGATACAACCTCAATTAGTCGTCAGATCGATCTCTCACCGGAACACCAGGTCCACATGACGATCCGCTACGAAGAAAGACCAATGACTTTAGACTTAGGCTGAGGTCTCCACATAAACTAACTGTGAGTTTTATACTTGTGTTCCTTTAATAATGAATTCGAACAAGAATTCATAACCACAGTCAAATGTCCCAACTTCTCCGGATATCTGATCGCCCTTTTCTTCGTTATTTGCATAATTTCATTTAAGGAAAAAGTACTTTCAGAGCAATCCCTGGACGGAAATCCAGAGCTTGTTTACCTAAAATCTCACCAGTCAGAATCATCTTAGCTGACCGTACCTTCGTCGTTAAATGCGCTCGGTGGCAGGAGAAACTGCTTCGAAAATTAAAATTGAGGATGGCTTGAAAGGAGGCGGCGGAGTCATTTGCTAGCCACGGTCATGACCGATGTTCCTATTAGTCGACACTATGAACCGCTATCGTTCCCCGCTACGCAAGGTTGTTAGAACTGTCGTAAGAATAAGCCAAATTGAATCCACGCACAAAGTGCTTCTGCTATGTGAAGGCCGGACTTTGGTTAAACAGTTCGAAGTGCACATAATTTAGCTCCAGGATTGCAGACATCTCGGCTGTCAGGAAATGGGTGCGCAAATGCACTTTATATTTTCAGATGTAGCTAATAACACCACGAGGTGATAAGCACCTTGCATAGTAAATACCGGCAAAGACAAGGGAGGGTGAGATGGCCACTTTTGGCTTATTGTGCACCTCTTATTGCGGGTTTTTATTAGCCCGGGACTAGAGCCTAGATTTGTTGGTCATTAAGAGTAAAATTGAGTGTTCTACCAGTAATCCCCTTGCCCGTTGTCCGTACGGATGGGTTTGGGAGTGTTGGCTAGTGTGAGGAGCCGGTAACCGATCTGTTTACAGAATGTGCCTTAGGGCTCAAGCTGTAGCCTTCACAGGCACTTACTATTGTCAGTTAATTTGAACGCAACACCAGTCTAGCTTTACGTCCTCTGGTGTTGGATGTCAAAGCAGGACACTAATAATGATCCAGGCTACGAGAGCTAATCTGACCTATTTTAGTCAAATGCAATCCCGAAGAAGGCCGTATATACAGGGGTATGAGCATGTTTAAAACCGGTTGCCAGCTGTAGAAAGGTCCCATGGTGTTAGATTGAACGCGACGAGAAGAGACTGCGAAACGCAGGACAAAAGGCCGGCGCTGTCTATTTCAGCTGCTTTCACATTATAATCATAATTTGTAAAGTGCTGGTTATCCACGCCTTCGTCATTAATTTAGAGTCGCTGACATTAATCTGACATCAAGTCGTATGCGCGAAACCCTGTCTACTTACGAAAATATCAGGCCCTTTTCTGGATGATGTTAGAAAATGTATCACAAAACACATGGCTGGAGAAATAACAGTCATGCGACGGATTAGGGATGGATAAAAGGAGTAAGAGTTTCTATTTCATTAAGAATTTGACGTGTTCGATGGGTGAGCTCGTTTATTCTGCGCCACTAACAGGAGTTCATTAGTATGGGACTGCGCTTCGTACAGTTAGACTTAGCAGGTTACCGTGGGACACCCTTATCAACCCTAAAAAGTGAGCGACGCTCCGTTACCGTATACCGCTTGAGATTTAGGCATACTCACGCCATAAACTCCCCTGCCCGCTAAATGTACCTTAGTAGTGTACTAGAAATAATGGCTTCCGCTGACTTTACTTGCTAACCAACTCGAAATTGCAATCACAGAACACAACAGAAAAATTTTACCACTGCTGCTTATTACTTGTTCGAGCGGTAGCGTAATTAGTAAGTTATCTGCTAGACTTCAAGGTGTCATACGTAGAGGATGCAAACAGTGGTGTGAAAATGGCGAAAACTTGCATATTTGTAGAGAACTCAATTACTCACTGCAAAATGAAGCCCGTATATCTAGACGAGAGCCAGACAATTCAAATTCAAATGGAACTAGGCGCCACATTCGGGTATGACACTGTTCCTAAAAGTACTTTATCTAACTCACATCTTAGCGTCATATGTCATTCGAGTTTCGGCGGTGAAGCCTAGATAGAATAAACAACTCGCCGAGTGCATAAGTCGGATCATATCAGCACGTGCCGACTTAGCAGAAAAGGCCTATGTGACACGGGGGTGGTTCGATTTCTCAAACAATTAATTTATTTACCTGACTTTTCTTGTTATCTGCCGAACCCATCAGCAGGAACGGCAATAAACAAAGAAATTGATACGCATCTGGGGTGTCGTTTTTATGAGACGCATTCGCTACATTTATATACACATAACAACTTCGAAGCATCCCCATTCACTACAGATGTCCTTACTTGGTGCGATGGTGGCTTGTTTGCCCAGATGCAGGCTGTTAGTTGCTTATATTTTATCACCGGTAGTGGTGAGAATTACATAACAATTTGTCTTTCCATTACTAACACTGGAGGCAATGTTTAACCGTGTGACGCAATCCAGACATAATTTCCAGTTCGACTAGGAAAAATCTTGGCAAGAGTTGACAGTCGTATGAGACGCCAGCTGCTGGAGTCATGGTTCTCCAGCCTGCAATGATTTCACACTCCACGCATCATACTTCAGTGTGAAGATCTTGCTTATTAAGATTATTCAGCCAATCGAGATGCGCACGGGTGAGTACTCTTTCAAGTGACGGTCATTGACAGTTCGACCATCGTTACCGACTATGGCACGGCGACTTATGCGTGAGTTAGTTTTTAGTGAGAGTAAACTTGAGCAGCACCTACCACATCCCATCCTCCTACTCCCTCACCTGAACCCGGGTCAAGACAGAGTCAAGAAGACCAGAGGCGGGGGAGGGCGCAGGCGGCTGGCACGACCGGACCCGCACCTAGGCGCACCACTTCCCCCCTGGTATGCAACAACCACTTGACCAGTATTTTAACCAACAACGAAAGCGGATGACACAAGTTACTGGGCAACCATGCAAACGGCCTGTATACCGAACGAGAGCGCAAGCGCACCTGCCATCAGGGATCTAGTGGCCAGAGCACACTAGGCTGCGAGGGCCATAGTTTGCTGAATCATGGTATAGCAAACGCATACAATTCTAAAGGGACAGTAATTACCAGCTAGATGGCTGATTAAATGTCACGCCAATCAGCAAACTCGGCGAAAAACATGAGGCCACTGAGGATTCTAACGCTGGCGACCGGGCTATCCTCACATCAGGTGCGAGTGTCATCTGTAAATGCGGAAGCTGGTAATTTTGGCTGACATATGGTGACATAGAAACGGCCAAAGACTACAAGCATGCGGGCCCCCGACTGATGAACAAACTCGCGCCACTTTTCTGGGGAATGTGGCGGTGAGGACTCCGGAGACGTCACCATTGTTTACATGTAAAAGCGCAAGGACAACCGTGAGACCTAGGAAAAACTGCATTGGAATCCCGCCGCTCAGTGTCGCCTGAACGATCTTTGTCCGCATCCTCAGTCGTCTCAACAGCCACTTCGAATAAAGACTGCTCCCCGAAAGCCAATGTGGGCTTCGACGGAAGCGCGGCACCATCGACACGATCTTTGCAGCCTGACAACAACAGGAGAAGTCACATAGAAGGAGGCACAATCGATGGAACAAAAGCTTTAGTGGTCTGACGTTTCGGACTCTTACTCAAATCCATCATCAGGAGAAGTGCTGAAAAATGTACAGCGATCTCTAAACTAGTTTCATGTAACTGACAAAAGCTTCTGACATCGGGAACCGCTACGGACTCCAGAGTGTCATATTGAGCTCAGGTGTCCGGAACGCTTCAATCGCACGGTGCGGCAGATCCAAGACGACATTATGGTGCGCGTCGCGGAAAATAAGGAAGTCTCATAGTCGTTCGCAGAGGTCAATGGAGTGGGGAGCGCCTGTGTACTCGTTCCCAACCCCTTCAGCCTCATGTTCTCTTTCGTGCTGATGGACGCTTTGAGTGGAGAATGTCTTGGGATCAGTGGCGTCTACGGGACAGACGGCCAACTACTCAACGTCCGACGCATGTAAGCATCCACGTGAACATCAACAACTACTGCTCATGAACTCCTATTTTCAGACGACTGTGCACCTGACGCCACAACAAAAGCAGTCACGCACATATTCATGGGAACGTTGGCCTCCGGTTGCGTAAACTTCAGTCCGAACATCAACACAAACAAGACGGTGGTTATGCACCAACCAACACTAGCGGAGGTAGATACTACGCCCAGGATCAACGAGAATGGAACCAGACTCGCATCAGTAGACAACTTCACCTATCTGGACTGTACCACCGGACATACTGCCGACATCCATGACGCGATAGAGACCCGAACCTCTGAAGCCAGTTAGGCCTTTGATTGGTTGCAGAGCTCAATTAGGAATCGCTGCGGGTTTCTAGTCAATATTATACAAGGTAGTAGTCCTGACAATGCTGTTGCATGCGGTGGGACATGGACCGTCTACACTAACCAAGCCAAGATGCTCAATCAATTTCACATCAGCTCTCTGTGGAGAACACTAAGACTTGGGTAGCGGGATAGGATTACCGTCATGGAAGACCCGGAGCTAAAGTCTAAGCATTCATGCCATGCTGGGACAACTACAACTACGCTGGGACGACCACCTCGCGAGAATGGATGATGGGCGCCTATCCAGACGACTCTCCGATGAAGACGATGCTACGGATGCTCGCAGACAAAAAGGACGAAAGCGACGCTAAAGAGACACCTTTCGGACCTGCCTCAAAAACCTATAAATCAGTCTGGTAACCTGGAGAACACTGCCCATGCTTGACTGGCCTCGAGTACGACAGTGAAGACTGGGGCAGTAGTCTACGAAGCTGACGGAAGCATTGCTCTAATAACCAAAAGAGCTGCGCCCAATTTCTAAGCACCGCAAACCACAACCTAAGCACCCAACCCCTACCATCATGTTCACGTTGTCAACGGACATTCAGCGCGCGGATCGGTCTTGTGGGACATCTCCGTATCCAACGCAACACTAAAGCGACAACAAGCTCTACAGCCTCTGGAGACGCCTTTACGGTCACTGCCTATCGCAATGCCCAACACAAACGACGAAGACCGCCACCGGTGGGCAAACCCTTGTCACCCCGCAGTTGCTGCTGTCTACCTCATCTCCATCACTTCCACCATCATTGGCACAACCCTCGATAGGTAGGCGCTGATGACTGCCAGTAATGCCACTTCCACCATCGGTGAGAACACTATCGACGTTGTGTCACTCGTCACCACCATCATCATCGCCTCCACTGCCAGCAATGTGGACACGATTCCAATCTGTCCAAATTGCGATCACACCTTTACACCACGCATCGACCGGGTCAGTCATTTGCGAATTCATCGTCCTGAGACTAGCAAACTAGTGTCGGGAGTATAAAAATGCACCTGCCCCACCCACCTTTACTGCCGATGTGTCTCAGGCACATTCAGTCGCCGCATGGGTCTATTCAGCCGAACGCACCTTCGTACAAATCCGAGATAAAAGCCCGTAGACTAAATCCTAACACCGCACACTCTCCTCTTTCCTCCCCCCCCCTCTGCTCCTACATCACACTCAAACGCATCCCACACAACCTACCATAGACAAAGAGTAGGTACTTTCCATGTACATTGGAAGCTTTCTCCTTGGCATAACCTGGTACCTAATTAGATCGTGCGCGGAGCATGTAGATGGGATGTCGCAGCTCTGTCAACCTCTGCGCCAAATCCTGACACCAGACGGCCGACAGGTCCGGACATTTGACTGGTGTACGGGAGAGGGAAAAGAGTGTGATCGACTCTGGCGACTCCGTCCCCACGGCAAATCAGCGCATTCCTGTAATAAATCTGATTACTTGGAATCTATCATGATCGTGCTTTGTGAAATAAAGAAGGTAGGCATCCCTCTTTCTTTAACCAATGCGAAGGGTGCAAAAGCTGCAAGGCACTTTAGCACTGTTGGAGGATGGTTCAGGAAGTTTAGATCCAGAATATGCGTGAAAGCAATGAAAAGCCCCGTAAAAGGAGCCACGGCCGACGAAGGGACTCTGGTCTGCTGATGGCGTAAGAATAAATTAACGAGGCCATATCTAATTATATATTTTATGTGGTGATACTAATCCGCTCTTTAAAACTTACTGCAACTTCATTTAGCGTTTTCCGGATGAGCGGATGCAGACGCCGAGAGATAAAAGAAATCAAAGGATTGAGTAACATCAATTGTTTGTGTCGATACCATAGGCCTCCAGCAACTGCCGTGTGAAATGCTCGGGAAATCAAACAGACTTGTCTGTTCAGTAGGAGGCAGCGAGTGGTCAGTGACTTATATTTGGCAGTAGAATGTATGAAAGAATATGTGATCTTGTCCAAATGGTTTGGGGAACTAAACTTTCCTGAAGCCCGTAGGAGAACTGGATAACCTGTACTGCAGCAAGTTATCAATGCTCCTGGATATTTTTATAGAGGGTTAGAGGGAAGTTTACCTCTCGCTGAGTCCGGTCCTCCCAACTATACGTCTGGTAAATAGCCAACCGACCTGGGGTATTATCGCTGTCGTAAGGAGACACTACCGATATACAGATTTGAACAATTGACTTTCGTTATTGACCTACCAATAGAAGGGAGCGAAATATTTCAAAAAAGGAAAATACAATCGCGATAAGAAAATTCGCACTAGCCTGAGCCTTCAAACTCCTACCGCTAATCACTTTGAGAGATTGTGAAAAAGTCGATTAGGAAGGAAGGACTACCTGGACAACTTCATTTATCGCTGCTTTCGTACGCGCTCACGAGGGAAAAACAAGATAGATTCGTTATGGAATTGAAAGCACATTAGATCAACTCAAACCACACGCAGAAAGTTCGTCGCGTTTTATGACAGAATTCAGAAACTGGTGGGAGGCGATTTATTTTGTGCGCAGGGCAGGTTGCTGTAAGCTGGCAATTTGCTTGCGGATCAGAAGAAGACGTCCGCCCAAGAGCGCGTGAGTGGCGGAGTGGTGTTGTGCACGTGGGTATGACATGAACCCACCAGCATGAGCAAGTGATTAACCCAATTTTGGTCATGTGAGTAGTTGTTGCATAAGATGGGTCTTGGGGTCGTGTGCACGGAGGGTGAAAGGTCGGGGGTAACAAGCCACGGCGGCCAGTGCGTCGGCCGATGACGTTCGGCTGAGGGAGTGGATGTCACACCGCCCACACCCTGGCCCGCTCTACCGTATAGTAAGAACATATCACAGGCCAGAGTGCGCGCTGCCACAGAGTTTGGAGTGGGTATAACTCCTCGCCCGAAAGCTACCATGCATAGCAGATTCATGCGGGTGAAGAACCAGCTGGACGCAGGTGCGATACATGTTGTAGTTTATCAGATTTCCATGCCACTACTGTTCCTACATCATAAAGGTCAAACAGAACGATGAATGAGGTCTCGAGTATGCGAGTATAAACCGTCCGTCGGGAGAAGCGCCCCGGTGTCAGAAGTCGATACCCACGCCTAGGGGAAGGCGATGAACAGGGTTTAGCTGTAACACGGATAATAGCGCTGGCTGTCAATAAGACAGGGCAAGAAGCATAGACTGGAGACTTCGACTTATGATAGCAATTCCACAAACAGACTCTACAATACCCCCTACGCTATCACGCGTTATACTCAGACGGCCCCATGGTGCGGCGCAGTTTCCAGCCAAGGACACACAGGTGCCGAATCTTGAGAACATTTTTGGCAGGCAGCGTGACTCCACCCTCAACCAAGGACACACGCCCTTTCCTCTCCGCGTTGTCAGTCTACAAGAGTGCATATTTGTTACTGGCATTCCATGGTTTTTAAAGGTGGGAACGCGTATAATTCTAAAAGGTTGGGCGAATGATATTGTTGTTACGGTGACCGCATATTCTTCTTTGCAACAAGAGATCGGAACCAGCCTGTTTGTCTGTATTCAAGGAAGAAAGATTGAATGGCCTTGGTTAAACATTTTGACCGGGCTCTATCAGCATATTTTTGATTATGTATTACAGGAAAGCATGAGAAAACAGCATGTTTGCTACGATTTCGAATTTTTTTAAAAGACTGCATTGGGAATTGCCCTTGGCAGGACCTTGTTTCTTAGCCGCACCTGTTAGGGGCTAGGGTTAGGGTTTAGGGGGTAGGGTTGTGGGTTGCGAGCCAGAGTAAGGGGCTAGGGGTTAGGGTTGGGGATAGTGTTAAACCCCCTATTACCACCGGTCCTGTATGACAGGCGCCTGGGGCTTGCCTAATGCAGGTGCGGCTACAAATTAGGATCCGACATTGCTCTTCATGGTGTGGCTGTGGTGTGACGAAATGTGTATTTCGACTTTGACGCTAAAATCTCAAAGACGGCCTGCGGAGGACATCGGGTAACCAGATTGAGTATGAGAATTCGAACTAATAACACCAAATCATTCCGTAGATATCAGATGTGCCCTTGAGAGGGTCTTGCTGGTGCTTAGAATAACAGCAGTTAAAGTGAAAAATCTTCCTTTGCGGGTTAGAATTATTAAATTTACAGCTGGCAAAGTCTTGATATGTTCACAGAAGCGCTCTTAGCAGATTTCTGATAATACCAATAAATCAACTCCATAACACGATGAACACCAATACGCGCGTCATCCAAACCTTGTTTGATAAAGACGCTGAGTCCGACCAGCAGATTCTGTGGAGCGGTATCTACAACTGCTACAGTCATAGGATCAGCAGTTCAAAAGCACTAGGGCCGCTCGCTGTCCACGATGAAGAAATGAACTGGCTGATGGTCAAGAACAAACAGACGCAGAACAAGGCCTCAGACTTCCAATCCCGTTGCCTTTTACGAAGAAGAGTGAGAATTAAACGGAATAGTCGACTGTCTATCGATGGCCGAGAAGAAACAGGCAACTTCTCTGTGACCACCATGACAGCCTACGGCCCTCAAGTCACCGAAACTACCCTGCAGGTCAGCTCAGATGACAATTCCTCTGGCTGAGAAATTGTTAATTTGGAGTGTTTGGTTGAGCACTGTAGACGCCTCCTCTGCTGCCCATCTATAACATGTAAGGAAGTCGCCAATAAACTTCAGAAAGGGTAGGGACCAACGATGACCTCTGTTGCCAAACCTACCTGCAGGCGACGATCGGAGCCATACAGCAGATGTCCAGTGTAGGGTGCAGACTCAGTTCCAGACGAGATGTACCGGCATGGTTGGTGGTACCTAATGAGCATGTACGCAGCAATTAAGGCGTTAGGTATGCCATGTCCACCGCAATGACCAGACCGATTCCCCTCTAGCAGGCGGAAACGGAGGATACTAGAGTGTGGAATTTATTTTGTACAAAACTCTGAACTGCTGTTCTGGGCAGAGATGTCATAATATGTGCTAACGGCATCCAATCCGTGTTAAGTGAAGGAGACAGTCGATGATGTCAGTTGCTTGTATGAGTTTGTGGGATAGTTTCACGTAGCTTGTGTTCAAATTATTTGTCGTATTACAAAAGGTGATGACGACTGCGGTTGGCTAGACGCTTGTGTACGCCCGTGCGCCAGTCGATCGGGCTGAAGACTGGCGTGTCCGGCAAGACTCGCACAGACAGTGAACAAACTTGGCGTGACGAGCTACACAGTTACGACGATCAGCCAAAAGCTGTCTTTGGTGTTCGGGAAGAAAGAGCGACAAAAACAAGTGTGTGTGTGTGTGTGTGTGTGTGTGTGTGTGTGTGTGTGTGTGTGTGTGTGTGTGTGTGTGTGTGGGGTGTAGGGGTGTCCAGTGGTGGGTTCACGTGAAGGTCGTAGTGGTCGCTCACTTGCTTGCAGGTGAGACTACGCCTAGCGTCCATTGCTGGCACCCAACTCTCACCTGTGGCTCCACGTAGCTGGGCTCTGCTCAGCGGCCACACCCCGGGCAACCGCCTCGACCGGCGGGCTAAACCAGGTGAGGGCGCTGTGCGCTTGTGCCGCGTGCACAGTGTACTGCGGGCTCCGCTGGACGTTTGGTCGGATGAAACGTTGCGCCGGCGTCGTCGAGACGAGGCTCTGCCTGGTACGCCGTTGGACAGCTGCTGCCGGGGTGGGTCCCCGCATCGCCTTCGCTGAGACGCGCCCACCTACGCCGACGGAGACCGCAGACCTCGGCATATGCGGTCGTTCTCCACTACAAACATAAAGTCGTGGTCCCATAGTGGGACTCGGTCGCGCCAAACAG